CGCTGAGTGGTGTAACTCCAACCAAGCCTGAGCACTCCCCCGCTGAGTGGTGTAACTCCAACCAAGCCTGAGCACTCCACCGCTGAGTGGTGCAGCTCCAACCAAGCCTGAGCACTCCACCACTGAGTGGTGTAACTCCAACCAAGCCTGAGTACTCACCCCACTGAGTGGTGCAGTTCCAACCAAGCCTGAGCACTCCCCCGCTGAGTGGTGCAGCTCCAACCAAGCCTGAGCACTCCACCACTGAGTGGTGCAGCTCCAACCAGAGATCTCAGCACTGCTTCCAGACTTCGAGGTAACGCTGGCACAAGAATCTGGAAGGTGTTTTCGAGTCCTTACAATGAGGTGCACTGTGATTATAGTTGTTTTTAATAAACTCTACTCATTTCCCTCTCTCCTCCTCCTCCCCGAGGCTTCCAGTATATACCTGGTGTCAAACATCCAGCACTCTGGAGGTCCAAACTAAGGCTCTCTGAACCCTCTCTTTTCCCAGACTAGCATGTATGCCCACTGTCCCCACCCTGATTCCATTAGCAGGGAGACAAGAGCAGTTTTCCTGAAAAGTTTCCTCCCCGGCTCTGGAGCACCCCTCTCACTCCAGGGCGTCTTCTATATCTGCCACCCAGGCAACTCCAAGCTCAAGCTCAAGTTCAATGTACCTGCCAGCCTTCCACATTTGCCAACCTTGCGTCACACCCGAGGACAAACTGCCTAGAGGAGGAAATTCCACTGAGTTTCACTTTCCTTGCGTTTCACTTTCATTAACCATTGAGGCAAAGGCATAAAATCATGGTTGGTGGGGCCTCCATATGCCTCCCTCAACCCAAGACCCCCAGCCCAGAGGGAGTTGTTAGAAAAGTCCGAGATCTGATCTGTGCGTGCTTGTGTGCACTGATTTTTGAAAAGGACTTTTCCACATTACCATATATCCTCCCTATAAAAAGGCTGAAACAAGATAGCAGTACATAAACTTAAACGGAGAGAAATGCACTGCAAGCCAGCCTCCCTCTCCTAATCTGCAGAGAGATTGGGAGCTAAGGGTTTGGTAGAAAAGCTTCAGGGCCAATCTAATTGTTAAATAAAGAAAAAGAAAAGAAAAGAAAGGAGATGGATTCATATGTATTGTATGCTGCCATCTGCGTAAACAAGAGGGAAGGAAGGAGATTTGTACATATTTGCTCACAGAAATATAAACAGCTTCAAGGCTTCAAAAGCAACACGCAACGGCCTCAGGGAGTGAACCTGTGCTGACAGTAGAAAGGTACTACTTGTCTCTGTGTCCCTTTCCTTACTGTTTGAATTTTGAACCATATGGATGTATTATCTACTAAAAACATTAACAACTTAAGTAAAATATTAAAACAAAGAAAGCACTAACTTGTTAAAAGTCCAAACAGTGCCTCTCATGCAGCGGGCGCTTGACAAACCACTGCAGAATGAATGGGGAAAAAAGAGCCTATATATGTTAACATAATTGGAATTATACTACTCAGACGGCACAAGCTGATTTAAATAAGCTATCACACAAAACAACGAAACAAAAACACTTGACTGCTGATATGAAAGGCACCTGTGATTAGTTCTTAACAGAGGAACGGTATAAACTGAGAACAAAGGAAGATTTTAGATACCACCTAGCAACTGGCAAACGAGTCCAGAGGGCTAAAGTACAACAGCAGGACCAGGTCATAAACTCATACTGTGTTGGCGATTCATAATAAATAAGTAGATTTTAGCTATTGTTGCCACAAAAACAAACAAAAGAATGGATAATGTGAGATGGTGGATAATGTTAATTTGCTTCACTATAATTAACCTTTTTACTATTTCACTATAATAATACCTTAAATATGTATGATAGAATTTTTGTAAAAAGACCATTCTAAACATTTTCTCCCAAAACTGCTATGGGAGGGGTCAAACAGAGCCACCTGAAAGTCTGGGTACACAGCCCTCAGGGGCTCTATAAGAGGGGCAAGTTTTTATGTTTAGCCATTACAAATTTACCTTAAAATGACACAGGACTTTTCTCTTTCCTTCTATAATATAATTATGGCTATGCTAATATAAAACCCACTGTCTTTGCCCAAGTCTTTAAAAAATATGTACAGTGTTCAGTGTGTTACTTTACACCTCTTGGCCTACCACCTCCCATCTGAGGGAATTCGAGCCCCTCAATTTGAAAGTCACAGATTCTAGCTGAATTCTCAAACTGTCTACTAACTGGGATCTTGGAAGCAAAGTGCTTTGCCCAAAGGCACAAGGCAGACACCGTCAATAAGACTAGTCTATGAGAGCAACTTCCTAACGGGAGCAGAAGACTCATTCCCACTTGTTCTCCTTCCCATCTCTCCTCTCCCCACGCACACAGCCACTAAAATAAACGCCCTCCAAAGTCTGGTCCAGCTCCAGAAGCTCACATCCATTTATCACACTGCTCTGGGATCTCACCGTAACTGGCTAACTGAGCCAAGCAGCCCACAAAACATAAAATTTCTAAAAAGTCCCACATCTTATTAGACTGCCTATGAAATTCTATTTTTATAAACAAACCTACTTCTAAAATTTAGGAATTAATGTACTAATTGCAAATCTGTTTATTTGTTAAAACTAAATGCTTTGAAAATCTCTGATTAACCTACCATTTTGGATACTGTATGTGTTAAAAAATAGCATTGCCTATTCTTGACAATATTCCATAATACACATTTCCCCCGATTTTAGCTGACTTACCCTAACTTTGCCCAAGGCAATTTCCTATTAGAAACTTTACTAACTTATTTTATATAAAGATTCCTTGAATGATAAACAAGGGTTAACATTCCTACACTAAAATTATATTCAATTCTTACTCAAACTGTTTGGTATTATAAAGATGAGTAATATCCCTAAATCAAATGCATAAATCATGTTTTAGGAAATACACCTGCAGCAGGCAAGACACTTCAGTAGGAAACCAATTTTAACTGATGAAAGAAAATATCTTTGCAAGAAACAAAGTATACAAATTTTAGACGGCTACAGTATTTTCCCAAATAAAAGCATACACCCTGAAGCATCATTTTCCCTTGGGGAATTTAAGCCATTAGAATATTCATGTCTAGATATTTTAAAAATCTTTCTTGGAATTGCTCACTTTGAAAGAAATTGGGCAATTTGGTGCCTGTACCAAAATTTCGATTGGGTGGTAGCAGAGGAATAATCTGAGAATAATTTCTCTATTAGATCAAATATCTCTAGTCTCTAGGAAAAATTCCAGACGTTTTAGTCTCAAATGAATTCCACGCTGTCACAAAAGTAACCAGCGCACCAGGGTAAAGAAAGGTTTCTGGCAATGGTCATAGCCTGGGTGTGGGGTAGCACCGGAGAGAAGCAGAAACCACTGTCTCGGGAAGAGAACTGGCATCGGGAATCAAATGGCTCCAAGAGGGGCTGTACCCGCTGCCCTGGCCCTGCCAGGGAATGAGGTGCCAGGAAGAGTGCAGTCTGTCCCAGGCAGCTCCCCAGGACCTTGCTAGAGGGGTTGTGAACTTCAAAAGACAGACAACTACATAAAGAAATGTACGAAGTACAAAGGAAAAGGCATGTTTCAGTTTCAAAATACATTCCAAAGCAACGCAAGACAAATTCAAAAGAGAAAATCTTCTAGGCTGGGAGCAGAAGACCTAAAGATGAGTCACTGACCAACGCGCTCTTGTCTTTCCGCTTCTCCGACTTAAGTGAGAGGAGCTTAATTTTTTTTTCTTACTTATAATGCCATTGTAGGACTAGAATGAAATAACTGACATGGAAACCTTTATCTGCAAAATGTTAAGTAGATTATTACTGTACTCAATGGATGGCAAATTTATAAATGATTCTACTTTATAATTAGGTAACTATAAAAAAATAGGATCTTGCAAAATCCATTTAGGAAGTCTTATTATTCAAAGCCATGGTTTCTTTAGGAGCTTAATAAATAATGCAAGTCATTATGACTTAGATTTGAGCCTCCTTCTTCTAAACATACCCAGCTGTTCACCCAACTCAACAAGGCAGGAAGTAGCAGTCATACCTCTGGGGTCTGCTGGCCCCTGAGCCAGGAACTCCCACACCAGCAGCACTGTCCTCCTCAGTGTCCCGGAAGACTAGCCCAACGCCATGAGAAGGACAATGCTACCGGAGGGTGCACCTGTGTAACATAACCAGGGCACAGCCCAAGTGTCACTTCAGAGTAAGAGAAAGAAAAGTCAACAGACAAAAAGCAAACGGCTGAATAACAAAGATAAGAACAAAGTACTGCAGTGCAGTGGTGCCAGGTCTGAGATTTGCTGTAAAATCCTGCTCCCCTTTCTCCCAGAACACAGGGAGGAAGGGAAAAGAGAGGACCCAAGAATCATGGGCAGTGGACTGTTGATGCTGGGAGGCCAGGATATGGAGTTCACTTTACTATTCACTCTACGTTTTATTTTATGAGAGAGGGTCTTGCTCTATCGTCTGGGCTAAATTCAGTGTGATCATCATGGTTCACTGTGGCCTCAAACTCCTGGGCTGGAGCAATCATCCTGCCCTGGCCTCCTGGGTAGCTGGGACTACAGGTACCCACCAGCACACAAGGCTAATTTTTCTATTTTTTTGTAGAGATGGGGTCTCACTATATTACCCAGGCTGTACTTTGTGTCCGTTTTAAATTGTCACAAGAAAATGTTTTCCTAAGTAGGAATTTAATCTGGTGTGACCTCAATTAGGATAAAAAATAATACACACACAAACATAAAGCACTCAGAAGAACAGAAATGAACCACAAAGTTTATGTTGGATGCTGGGTGAAATCAAGGAACTAGTCAGCTGACTTCACACAACTGCCAAGCAGAGGGGCCGCTGTTCACAGCGAAAGCACCGAGCCTCACACAGACGGCAAGATTTCGCAGGGCCACCACCTTGGTAATAACCATTCAACCTAACCAACACTCCTTGGGAAGCGGGCCCTGACCCCGAAAGCGCACCCAAATACCACCCTCCTAGTACTCTACATGGCAGGGCTCTAACCCCTCATTCCCTCCTCACAGCAAGAAAACAAGTGTCCACTTTCTCAGACTAAAGGAACCAGGCTGAGTCAACAGGAGAAGAGAAAAGGCAGGCAAAAGGATCCAACCCAAGGCCTAAGAACGCCTTCCACGGGCTGCTGATAAAGAGGGAAGCCTGAGTCACAGGCTAAACTGGACTCTGTTTTCTTGTTCGCCCTCTCCCTTCTCACTTGCTCTCTATTTCCTTCCTAGCTCCAGGGGCAGGCCAGGCAGGCCGTTCACCGTGGCAGGTAAGGAGCCAGGGCAGGCCATGACGCTCTGTGCAGGAATTCCCTTCCACAAAGGCACTGCCCACAAGTTCTGAGACCAGTTACAGGGGACATCTGCAGAGACTGTGGGCCTTTTCTGAGACCTGTCTCTCAAGAAGACCGAAAATTGTCTTGGCAAAATATTTTAACTTGAGTATGGACAATCAGATTCAGCTAAAGCAGATCCAGCTGAACAGGGCAGCTTCAAAGACTTTAGAGGTGACTGACAAAGGTCCAAACCCCGAACTGAAAGGAATCCTTTGATCTTACACGTGCCAGGGACACAGTGCTCAGTTTATCTTCCTAGAGCAAAGTACTCATTACCCAAACGTTCAGACTCCTGACCTTTGCCACCTGAGTCACGTACCCTATCTCTATACGGACACTGAAAAGGGGGGGGTGGGGAGGGGAGGCTGCCATATAAGCCAATTTTCTAGGTGAAGAGGAAATTACTAAAATCTCATTCTGACATCTGTCCTCTCTGAATTTTTAAGAGAGGTTTGCTTTTCTTAAAAACTAGCCGGTTCCCATCTTATGGATAACATGAATCTTAATGTTTCTAATTTTTCGTTGGCTATCAGGATATGTGCAGGGCAACAGGACTG